TGATTTATCTATCATGTTCTTTAAAATGTAGCACAGGGTAATTTCATTTAGTTAATCATGGGGAAGGTGGTCGTAAAATTAATGATAGTCTATTAGAATAGCAGCTTTGAGTTGTTGTAAATGATCATATTTTGATTTTTTTTTTATTGGTGGAGGGTTATTATAAGCTGATGGGATAATTTCCATGTTGAATGACGGGCCTACGGCTGAGTTACGACGCCTAGGTAAATCCTTGAATTCGTCATCAAAATTTAGTTTAAATTGGATAACACCAGAATGGAGATATTTTAATACCCTTACTTCGTTGAAACAAGGATCGCCGACTCTGTTTCCTGGTCTTATCATATCATAATATTTTAAAGAACTAAAGTCCCTAAAAAACGTATGGGTTAAATAATTTACAACGTATACGGTTGACTTGGTCTTGCCTGTTTAATTCCACATAATTCGATGGCGAATAAATTGGCACTTTGCGAAATTTTCTTTCAAGTGTACTGTGGACGGAGTCAACCTCCATTTGTGTATGTCCCTTTTCTAAGTATTTCTGGATTATGGTTATCCCGTTCTTAACAGCTGTAAAAAGTAAAGCATTTGACACAGAAACGTTTCTGTTCTGATATCCGCAACCGTCACTGAACAACATTATTTCTTCAATTCCGGGTTCGATTAAAGTTTCAATATAATGTTGGATACATGTGGCAAAATTGTGAGAAGATAATCCGCCTTCTCCCTCATGCCAAAAATAGCAATGGACATCTCTGGTAGCTAAATTGTGCGTTGTGAAATTGTGACAAGCTAGTTTGGTTTTGTAGTAGACGGCACTAGCTTGGATTGAGGGACAAATTAAGACTAGACTGTAAATCCATTGTAGACACCTTTATTTTATTGTTTTCAATTGCTCGTTCTTTGTCTCGAACCTTTTCGTTTTGTGCTTTTGTTTTCCTATCAACATGTACAGCAAAATCACCATCTGTAATATTTCCAGTATCATGACCAACGCAGATATCACACTGGTCCTTTTTAGGGTGGAATAGTGATAGATTCATTTCATCAAATAATTTTACTAACACCTTTTGGCTCACAGCTAATTTTCCCTGAACTTCACAATCTTGTACGTAAACACGAAGGAGTTCAGAGAAGGAAGTAAATAATGGCTCTAAATACTGTTAATTTGTCGTAGCTTGACAATAATGTGAAGGCATTTGGGGTAATTTTGTAAGAAATTGTCGAGCATAAGAATTTTGAAGTGATACTTTTGGAGGCTTCTGTTGTTTATCGCATTCTGCTACTGGTACACCATGTTCATTTATAGATTTCAACCATTCATAAACAGTGTATTCGCCAATTCCGAGACTTGACAGAAAAAGATTTTTACAAACCGGTAATCGCTGATGACCATTTTTCAGAGAATATCTGAATGAAATTTTCTCTGACTATTTTCCCCGACTGTAGTTAAAGTATTACATTGATCTACAAGATTGGTTACATAAATTTTCTTTTCACTCCAATCCATGGTATGCCAGAAAAATTTGAACATTTCTTCCCTGCTATTATCAGTTATCAATCCACATTTTCTTGACTTTTCACATTTACGACTACAGTTCCGTGCCCCCAAAATCCTTTCCTCTCTTTCAGCGCAAAATCTTTTTCTTCCGTCCACCTTTGCTATTCCTTTATATGGCTTTCCCTCCATACGTAATTTTTTGTTTTTGTTTCTTTGCCATTTGCTTGGATCAGACATTCCTCTTTTGGACCTTACCCCTTCATTTTGAGTGTCTACAACTTCTTCATGATCTACCTGAATGAAATTTATTCCAACATTCTCATTGTCACTTCCGTTAACATCATCATGACTTGTATTAACACTGTTATGATTATCAGCATCTTTATGACTTCTATCAATATGACTTCTATCAATATGACTTCTATCAAAATGCCCATGACTTCTATCAATATGACTTCTATCAACATCCCCATGACTTCTATTAATATGACTTCTATCAACATCCCCATGACTTATATCAACATGCCTATGACATCCATCAATATCTTTATGACTTCGATGAACATATTTATGACTTCTATGAACATATTTATGACTTCTATGAACATATTTGATTTATGACTTCTATGAACATATTTATGACTTCTATGAACATATTTATGACTTCTATCAACAGGACTTCTATTAACATCTTTTAGACTTCTATCAACATGGCTTTTATCATCATCTTTATGACTTCTATCAACATATTCATGACTTTTATTAACATTCTTGATGACTTCTATCCACATCTCCATGACTTACATTACCACCAACGTGACTTCTGTCAACATCTCCATTACTTCTATTGACATCCCCACGACTTCTCTCAACAGGACTTTTGCCAACATCCCTACGACTTCTATTAACAGGACTTCTATCAACATGACTTCTTTTAACATCTTTATAACTTCTTTTACCATTTCCATGACTTATATTAACATCACCATGACTTTTATCGACATCTCTTCTACAGGGCTTGCCACGAGCAAATTGGAGGCAAGTAGATGACTACTCACGCAAATATAGACTGAGGCGAGTACATGTATTTACTCTCGCAGAATGATGTGCGTGAGTAGCCATTTAAATTCCATGTGCCTAATGGCTATGCTCTTGTCACTTCGGTGGAAGCGGACGTTGAATAAAGCTATTTCACACACAAAGGCAATGCATACTCTTTTATTTTCTTGGCAGTAATATTATCTGTAAATCGTCTTCCCATGACAATAACGTTGCAAGGGAAACTGGGTTTCCCTTTGCCATCGTTGGCGTGCTGAGGGGATTCGGGTAAAGCTTAGAAAGGTAAAAGAACAGGCAAAACAATTTCAATCCCATCAATTTGTAGAAAAGATGCGGGATCGAAAGAATTGCTATTAATAGAAACGACAACATCCGCTCAATGTTTGATTATCCAGACACGGCAAAGGACATCGAGTCCATCCGCTTAAAAACCGCCTGGCAGTACGCGTCTCAAAGTATTTTTAGTAACAACAGTTGGAACTGGAAAGACACGCCGCGTGCGCAATAGTGCATCAATATGAAGGCATACAAATTGTTTACGGCTTTTTATATTACGATATTCAATTATTTCTGATTAAATTATTTTTTATATTTGCGCGAGTACTTAATCACTCGCGTAAATTTGGTTTTACGCGAGCGTAGCGTGCGCGCGAGTAATTACTCGCGTCTCGTGGCAAGCCCTGCTTCTACCATTAACAATAGCTTCAATTGTATCATCTTTATCAACTCTTCCATCACTAGCCTTATCTATAGTATTATTTGTATCATTTCCCTCAGTTCTTTTATTTTCTGCTTCATAAATAACACTATCGGTTCTATCACCAAGCTTTAAAACTTTTCTAAAACTAGATTTAGCACTGCTTTTAACAAAAAATTTGATCTTCGCCACATGCCTAGCTTTGTGTTTTTTATGTGATATAAATGTTTCTTCATCCATGCTCTCTGAATCTGGATTATTACGCCGTAACATTTTCTTGTCTGGTGCCTAGTCTGGATCACTAACAGTATCTAATTCTGAATCAGATTCACTAAAGCTATCAAATACCATCCGTTGTTTTATATCAGAATCTTTTATTTCATTGATTACACAGTCTGGTGTGGTAATTGCTGGACTGTGTATAGCAGGCGTCAAAGTGGAACAGTGCCTGCTACTAGATCCTTGGTCACACATGCCATTGCCAGGATTATCAAAACCATTGCACACTGTAGGGTTACCTATCTTCTCCAGTGCAAGTTGAAGGAGTTGTTTTCCTCTAGATGACATTATAACATGGTAAGGTCTCAGTGAATACCCTAAAACAAAACAAAAACCTTTATTATATCTCAATAGAAAAGAATGCGAAAAACTTGTATCTCACTAAACGTCCAAAACAGAATTAAAAACCCAAAATAATGGAATGTGAAAAACTCGTATCTCACTAATAGGCTAAAATAGAATTGAAAATGACAACTTTGTACTTTAATAATTTGCATAATAATGAAGTAAATCAAAGTTTGTTTGACTAATTATATCATTAATCTAACAATATTCACCTCTTTCTCGAGTAAATAGACATTTGGAATTATTCAATAAGACATTACGTCATTGAATATAATTGGATCACAAATTTGCATTAAATTCGAACCTTATATAGATCAATTAGTACGTTTATTTACAACAAAAATACTTCTAAAATGATGCATCGAAATAATGTGTAAAGTAAACTTACCTTTTTTTCAATTATTTCATAAGTTTACCAAGGCTTACAAACATGTGTGCCTACTTATCGACGTGACATCCGAGATACGAGGATTTCGCAGTTAAAATTAAACAATCCGAATACGAGATTTTTTCACATGACCAATTTGAACATTTCTGATTGGATATTAGGTTGGGTAATTTCGCGCCTTGTGTATCGGTAGATTATTGACCTAGACGTCACATAACAACAAAATGGCTAAAATCTGAGTTACGAGGTTTTCGACGCACAGCGACAATTTTGATAACTTGGAACAGCTAAATCCACAATATTAAATGTTTTGTATACTAAATGTTAACATGAGGCAGAACTTAATAAAAACCAAACAAATTCTAATGATTATTGCCTAGCAACCTATCTTTGATTGCTTTGCAGACTCAAGCTATGATCAAGGGTAGACAATTTGAATACGTGAATACCCCATAGATGAACCCAGGGTATATCTGGGTTCCTTTCAGTACTCGTGTATCTGACATTAACTTCCTGGATTATGGCCCATGATTGTTAGAAAAATCGTTTGTATTTAGCATGTTCTGTCCATCTCTTGCAAAATGTGGGCGTATCTTGCATGGCAACCGCTTGTTCCTTTTTATACGCCCACATTTCATATTTGCTCGCCTGTCCTATTTATTTTAGTTTCTAAACAAAATTGTTAATATTCAACAAGTTCATTAAATATCATATTTTTCTAATTCCAGATGTTGGTATTGGTAACAGCAGCATAGGATTTATCGATAGTGATTTATCTCACTCACCCAGAGGAAGCATATTGTCAGAACATAGTCATATAGATGATGCTACTCTTGCCCAACAACAGGTACTATCAATTAATGCTCAATAGTTTTTATAAGCTTACATTTTCATGTGAATAAAATCAGTCATGTGTATCAGAAAACCATCTTTCCTTTTTTTATAGCATCTAACATTTCATAAGTGTAAAATCTTGTTTACTCAGGAGAACAAAACTACATTTGTATAGTTGTGTTCTGAAAAAGTAAGTTTTTATGCGCCCACATTTTCAAATTGACTTATTTTGTCGTCGCACCCTGTACGTCAGGACGTACATTTGTCTATCCACAAACGATAAAAAAATAACAGTAATTTAATTGTTAGTATACTGACATTAATGTTAAAAAACTAACGTTACGAAACTAACCATAAACTAACGGTTAGTTCGAATTTCTTGAAAATCTGGCCAAAACTGCCGGACAAAATGGCCACCCCCTGTACACAAATAGTGTATAACATCTGGTATATCAAGGTTGTGGACCCTATAGAGGTCACAATTTTGATGAAACTTGAAATACATGTTTATAACCCAAAGATCTTGGTTGCTGTCGATATTTGCGCATATTGGATCGTAACTTCCTGAATTGTGGCCCCTGATTGTACGAAAAATCAAGTTTTTAGCTTGTGGTCCCTCTAACGGTCACAATTATTATCCGATTTAAAAAAACGTTCGAATATATCACCGTTTTACCGTGATGTTTGTTGAGTTCGAATTTCGTGAAAATTGGGCCAAAACTGCTGGACAAAATGTCTGCCCATCGTACGCAAATAGTGTATTGGATCTGGTATATCAAGGTTGTGAACCCTGTAGAGGTCACAATTTTGATCCGATTTGATGAAAGTTGAAATACATGTTTATAACCCAAGGATCTTGGTTCCTTTCGATATTCGCGTATATCGGATTGTATCTTCCTGAATTATGGCCCTTGAATGTTGAAAAAAATCACTTTTTAGCTTGCGGTCCATGTAGAGGTCACAATTTTTATCAGATTTAAAAAAAAAACATGTGAATATACTTCACCATTACCGACTTAAGATCTTAGTTCCTTTTGAAAATCGCGTATATCCGAACGTAACTTCCTGGATTATGGCTCCAGATTGTAGGGTGACCCATGCACTCTACAGAAAGTTGGTCTCGACACGGCTAATGTGCACGCTTCAGTGGTAGTCTCGAACTATCAGCGGTGGACTGTATGATACTATAAATAGCCATGGCCTGTGCAATTCTCTACAAATCTATCAACTATTACAGCCATAAAAAATCTATTGTTGACGATTTTGAATAGCAGTAAAATTTAGCTTCTTGGTTATTACAGCAGATTTAGAAATTACGTTTGTTTCATTTTTTAAATCTCTTTATGATTAACTGTACCGTTAAGTGCGGCATCTTTTGGTTTAGTACAAATAATATCTCTGAAACACTCGGTTTAGACAGGAACATGATACTAGCAGTAGTTTCATTTTACTTTTACAAGCTTCTTAAAACGATTGTTGAGCTACCTAACGTGCTTATTTCTAAATTCAATTTCTTTTTCTAGCTTTCTGTTATGTTTCGTAATGTATTTCTTATCAATATACAGTATTTTCTTATTTTATTTCTTGTGTGTAAATTTACAACCGAACATTGACATAGGAATAGATGTTATTCAAAACAACCATAACTATATAATAATCACTGACAGCAGGCCTACCTGGTAATGGTATTGCAACCATACCACTACTAGGTCTAGCAGACGAATATTCATCTTCTTTGTCCCCCGCCTTTCGAAGAAAGCAGGGGACTATTAAAATGGGTTCGTCCGTCTGTCTGTCTGTCTGTCCGTCTGTCTGTCCGTCACACTTTTTGGGACACAATAACTCTCTTCCTAATTGAGCTAGAATGTTCAAACTTGGTGTATGTGTTTATTAGGTCAATGCCTTGATGGAGTTCGAAGATGAGCATTTTCCGCTTAGGGTAAGCAGAGATAAGCAATTTGATTGGTTGATGCTTTGGGACACGATAACTCTCTTCCTAATTGGGCTAGAAAGTTCAAACTTGGTGTATGTGTTGATTAGGTCAATGCCTTGATGGAGTTCGAAGATGAGCATTTTCCGCTTAGGGTAAGCAGAGATAAGCAATTTGATTGGTTGATGCTTTGGGACACGATAACTTTTAATTGAGCTAGAATGTTCAAACTTGGTGTATGTGTTTATTAGGTCAATGCCTTGATGGAGTTCGAAGATGAGCATTTTCCGCTTAGGGTAAGCAGAGATAAGCAATTTGATTGGTTGATACTTTGGGGCACGATAACTCTCTTCCTAATTGAGCTAGAATGTTCAAACTTGGTGTATGTGTTGATTAGGTCAATGCCTTGATGGAGTTCGAAGATGAGCATTTTCCGCTTAGGGTAAGCAGAGATAAGCAATTTGATTGGTTGATGCTTTGGGACACGATAACTTTAGTTCTAATTAAGTGAGATTGATGAAACTTGGTGTATAGTTTATTATATGAATACCTTAACTAAGTTCGATAATGAACATTTTTTGCTGAGGGTAAGCAGAGTGATAAGCAATTTGATTGGTAGAAACTTTGGAACACAATAACTCTCCTTCTAATTGAGGTAGAATGTTCAAACTTGGCATAGGTGTCTATTAGGTGAATGTTTAAACTTGATGTATATGTAGATGTTCATTAGGTGAATGTCTTGACTGAGTTCAATAATTAACATTTCGAGCTGAAGCTAAGCAGAGCTAATCGATTTCATTTGTCGATGGTTTGGGACAAGATAATCTTGATTCTATCTGATAGAGAGTGATGAAACTTAGTGAAAAAAAAAAAATGTGCGATTAATTAATATGTGTCATCTATTTATTTTGCAATTTCGGCGGGGGACATCAGCCTCACTGTTGGCTTGTTTTGTTTATTATGAGTGTCTGTCATACTTATTTAGTCATCTAACAATTTCAAACGCATTTTATTTGAAAATCTTCAAAAATATTGATAAACAGTGACGTACGGTTCAGTAATATAGCAACCAGGATTGATTTGGGACATGAGCTTAGTGCGCATGCCTATTGACCTGACCTAGAGATGTGCCCGCTTCTGATTGGACACTTCACCATTGACCTATGTGACCAACCAATCAAATAACGTATTCTCGAAATAACCTCATTAGGCTGACCTTAAAAATATCTTTGTTTCACCAAACCCGACCCACAATCGAGGAGAAGGGTCGGTAGGTCGGGGTTTTTTTTCAGATTTTTTTAAAGAGCTAATTTGACAGCTTGATAATTTTCCGGGTGCAAACATTCGTCTTCTTTTATTGTCAAACCAATCAATGACATCGGGATTTTTCGTGATGCACGACTCGCACACGAATTGCCAGAAACTGACGTTTGAAACTCCCTCAACGCGTTTTTTAACGATCGTGCAGGTTGTGCCTTCATTTTTCTCGAAAACGGATATTCAATATCCGTTTTCGAGAAAAATAGAGGCAGAATCATTTCGTGGGAATGGACGTGCTTTCGTCTACAACCATTTTGTTGAGAAGCGACACCTATGATGCTTTCGTCTTGATCAACCAGTTTCAATAATGAATCAAACCATAGCCATAGTAAAGGGAAATAACTCTCGTGATATATTTCAGGTTTTAGTTAGTCGGTCGCGTTAGGCGAAACAAAGATATTTTTAAGGTCAGCCTTAGGTATGCAAAACTTGTTCTTGCTTGCTATTTTTATCTCAATACAGAAGAAAAGTTTCAAGACACCCCCATAAAACGTCATTTCCTTTCAATAGTGGAAATCCCAAGCTTTCTAACAGTATCCAACATGGCGACAGTTTACCGGTCGGAAGCCGAGTATTTCACGTATGAAATGCCTATTGTTTTTAGATTTATATCAATAGTTTTAGCGGAATTAGGGCAAAATAAAAAAGGGTGGGATCATTCAGAACCAAATTTTGTAGAAATAAAGAAGAATTTTGTGAAAAAAATGACTGGTATGTGTTCCTAGATAGTGTTACTCGCAGATAATCATAAAACCTCAAAAACGATTTTATTGTTAAAATTCACCAAATGAAATGCGAACGACGGCCTTAAGGTCTTGAGACGAAGAAGCCTATTGATTTTCAGCGATTTCCGATAATTACTGCCAGAGTTATGGCCCTTGATCACTTCAAAAAATCTTGTGGACGCTCTAGAAGCCAAAGTTAATATCCGATTGACCTTAAATTTACACACAGTGTTTAAGGTCTTGAGACGAAGAATCCTATTGATTTTCAGCGATTTCCGATAATTACTGCCAGAGTTATGGCCCTTGATCACTTCAAAAAATCTTGTGGACGCTCTAGAGGCCAAAGTTAATATCCGATTGATCTTAAATTTATACACAGTGTTTAAGGTCTTGAGACGAAGAAGTCTATTGATTTTCAGCGATTTTCGATCATTACTGCCAGAGTTATGGCCCTTGATCACTTCAAAAAATCTTGTGGACGCTCTAGAAGCCAAAGTTAATAACCGATTGACTTTAAATTTATGCACAGTGTTTAAGGTCATGAGACGAAGAAGCCTATTGGTTTTCAGCAATTTCCGATAATTACTGCCAGTGTTATGGCCCTTGATTTTCAACAATTTCCGCTCTAAAGGCTAAAGTTATTATCCGATTGACTTCAGATTGATACAGAGTTCAAGATCTTGAGACGAACAGGTTATTGATTTTCAATAAAAACCAAACAAATTCTAATGGTTTTCTGATAATTACTTCATGAGTTGTTGCTCTTAATCATATTTTAGTGTATTGTAAATGTTTCATTACCGAAAAAAGTAAGAATATGCGACAACTCTTGTTGACTGCCCGGACGATTTAGCTGCTGTGGGCGTATGTTTCGTTGCCTGGCAACCTATCTTAGAACCTTGTGAACCCTCAAAGGACGAAAATTATGTCATCTGTATGAAATTGTTTATTAAATGCCTGTAATTACCTACAAAAGAATAAATGTGTCGACCGCTCGGATGATTTAGCTGCTGTGGAAGTATGTTTTGTTGCCTGGCA